TGACCTGGAGCACCCCTGGCTTCATGTGGGGAGCCCAGGGCTCCTCTTCCTCAGCCTTTCCCAGGCAGGTGAGAAGGATGGGGACCCCACAAACCAGCAGGACACACAAACTACCTGCAATGCCTCTGGAAATTCTCTTTTCCCCCTCCTTCCATCCTGCTGGGGTGGCAGAAGCTCCGGGGCAGGATTGCATCCCCGTGCATTTGCTCCAGAACAACCTGGGCTGGTTGCGGGTCAGCGGCCACGTGGCAGCACAGGGAAGTGAGGAGAAGCTGTGAGAAGCCAGTGCAAAGCCTGAGGAACTGAAACAGAAAGAAAAGAGCTGGAAAAAATAGCTGGACATGGCCTTGATGTCAGTGTCCTGTCAGTCACGTGCAGCAGAGGCCCTACGAGCTCCCAGCTCCCGCTGTGCTCGCTCCTCCGGCAGATATTTGGAGGAGATGCCATGACTGGCTTTGCACTCAACTGGGAAATCTGCAGCACCCACCAAGTTCTCTGCCCAGCCCATTTAAATGATATAATTTATCATTATGTCATTTAAAGGATGAGAAATGTCTCAAGATCTCTTGATTTGTCTCCCTTTCAGTGAGCTTGGTACATGCCTTGGTAAATATGGATGCAGTCTCTAATAACATTAAAAAATTAGTACCTGTTATGGTCACACAATTTATCCATTCAGTCCCCAGTTAATTCAAACCTGGTGAGACATGGTCAAAAATAAACCAGTTCCTATTGGGTATCTTCACACAGAGAGTGAGAGCAGTGCTAATGAACAGAGAGGAGCTGCTGTTTAATCCCAGGGGTTTGGACTCTGCAGGCTTCTTATCACACTCCCTTCACAGAACAGTTTGACAGAAAAAGGTCAAGAGAAAGTTTTAATTTTACATTTTTGAAATTCTTTCTCTCATCACGCAGTTGTTTTGTGGTGCTTTGGTATTCATGTGGGTGTTAAACTTCAGGAAACTCTCTGAGCAGCTCAGTGACACTGACAAAAACAAGACTGCAGAACAAAACCTTTCAGAAGCCTCCTGGACTTGTCCCCTGTCCTTGTCAGCTCCATGTCCAAGCAGGTTTTTGAGGGATACCATTCTCTTCCTTAATCATTTACAAGCTTTCACAACCCTAAATGAACAAAGTTCTTGGAAATAATCACTAAATTTTGTCCTTGGGTTTGGGAACTGAGGAGTCCTAGTCTTCAACAATGGGAAAAAACCCAGACTCAGATCAGCAGAAATTATTTTGCTGACAATTTTGATTAATAACATGGAATTATTAAACTGACAAGTTGAGTGCTTAGCAGTGATGGAATATTTTCTGGCAGTGTTAGCTGATATCTCAGAATGAGATATTAATGACTAAGTCAACAGCTTGTAATCACATCAGCAAAACATGAGGAAAAATTAGACAAGCATGTCTAATATTTGCTCTGTTTATTTAATGTTAGGGTTGGAATCAGAAAGGGAAAGCAAATTGTACATAGCAGCAGAGAAGACTGATTCATTAAAAAATACCTTTTTAAGTTTAGCCTTAAAAATTCAAAGATGAAAGTGTACTATATTCTATTTTTTGTAACTCCATGACTGGAATTATACTGGGTAAATTAAGGTTGTCAGAGGCCTCTCTCTGCTTTGATTGCCATGCAGCTGAATATCAAATTTTGTCTTTTCCATCCTTTTGTTTAAGGCAAATTGGCTCAAACACCTCACTAATTTTGACTTCAATTGCAGCAAAAATTACAAATATGTTCTGCTCCCCTTGGCTTGGTTTCTCCAAATTTTGGCTGGGATGCTCAGAGTCGCTGTGCTTTGGTCAGCTGAGGTCCCCTTGGGTAGGTCGGAATCACCATCCTCTCCTGGCATACACCCTCAGAAAATTAAATAAAGTGGGAACTGCCTCTTGGTGAGCTGCAACAAAGGGCAGAGAAAAGGACTGGCAGGAGTGAGAGACACACAAAGCCAGCAGAGGATGTGGCCATGCAAAGGCAGTGGCTCCTTATATAATAGAATATATAAAAGTATATAAATATATGTATATACTTTAAAAATATATTATATATTTATATATTAATATTTTAATAAATGTATGTAAATATATTAGAGAGAAAAATTTAAATCATTAATAAATAAAAAAATGGTTCCGTTAATCACCAAATGGGGTGATTATTAATTACAAGTGAAAATAAACATCCCGCTGGATTGGAAACCTGAAAGAATGAATTGCAACGCTTTGTATCCCAACTCAGTTTTTCCTTCCTGGGGAGCAGGGTGACGGGGTTAAATCTGATTTTTGAGCCGCGGCTGGCTCGCAGTCGGTTTTTTAGCAGCGCATCTCGCTGTCCGGGTCCCGACGGCCGAGGCTGCTGTCACCATTTGCCATCTAGTGGACAATGGAACTCTCCCTCCGCGCTCGCCTCCAGCAGAAAGAAAGGAATGCTCCAGGACTGGGGTGTATTCCTTGGAATTCTGGCCGGGCTCACCAGGACATTCACGTATTTTAAATAAGCAGTGGTGCAAGCTCACCTGCTGATGATTTATGAGCTGAAGCCGGAGTGAGGAATTTGTTCTCTTTTCCTCTCGCGCGTGGGTCTTGCTGTGTTTGACCACAGCAATTTGTGGTGGTTTACAGACAAACTCTCCAGGGGTAGATTTTGGTCTTCCAAAATGGATGATTTCCCCCCCTCTCCTTATTGTGCCTCGTTAGCACAAAAAAAAAAAAAAAATGGTGAGAAGACTCAGCAGATGAAGAAACCTGTTCACACTTTGGCCTGCCCAGACCACACAATTTCTATTTAATTTAGCAGGCTGAATTCTCCAGTCTGGTTTAATTCTTCCCTGCTAGTGGGAATTCTTCCTATAAGGGAGAAGATGTTAATAACTGTCCCTTTTCATGACTCAGTGTAAACTGGAAAGCTTGTTTTGTCCTGTCAGACAAGATACATGAAAATCTGCCATTCCTCCTAATTTAAATCATGTATTACAAGGTATTTCTCAACAGGGTAGGAGTTTCCACATTCATCTCTGGGTTTGAAAAGATCACTGGTGAGCGGTGCAGTTGTCACACCTTGACCTTGGTAAATTGTCCTGTACACTGGGAAATCTGGGGAGGTGGGAGGGTCTCAGGGGAATGGGCTCAGTGCTAAATGCAGCTTGGATTAATGTGCAGCACAGGTGACAGGAAAATTCGATGTCCTTGGCAGTGAGGGACCACAGAGGCTCCCTGCCCGTGGGGATCAGGAGGGCTGGGCTGCAGAGACGTGGAGGAGATGTGGCCAGAGTGGGCTAATCCTGCCTGCCCTGGATGCCTTCAAACAGCGTTTAGATTTTAAAAAAAAAAGTTGGGGGCAAACAATCAGCATTATCTTGATATTCCAGCCAGGAATAAATATGGTTTTAGTTTACAGAAGTTGCCAGTGCACACACACACACGGAGATACTCACTGAGGCACACCCAGACACTCCCACTGAGCTCTCTAGTGTGTCCCTTCCAGCTCAGAATAATCTGGGATCTGGGATCTTCCACTTCAAATAAATTCTCTACTTTTTCAGAACAAGCCTGGCTGGCAAGGTTAGGTACTGGGATAATGTGATAGATAAAGTTAGATAATAACCAGAACGTGCTACTCCTTTGGTGGAGAGGAGCTCTTGGGAACATCAGGTAACTTTTGAGATCCTGAATCTCATCCTGACTCTTTCTCCCTCTCTAGGCTCTTCCATCCAATGTGTATTTAGGATCCAAGCTCGTGCACTGGTTCCTTTTTCATTTTGGGGACAGCTCTGGGTCCCAGAGCCAGCGGGGCAGCCCTGCCCCTCTTCTGCTGCAGATTCCAGGGGCTGTGCTGTTCTCCAGGTGTTACATTTGTGCTCAGCGCCAAGGAGCTCCACCTTATCCACCTGCACGTTGACCTTGGGCGGTAATCGGGACGAGCTGTGGGCTTTGTGCACTGAGAACACAACTCCACCATTGTTCCTGGGGCTGGCTGCTGGGCTGTGGGTGCCTCCCGTGGAAATCACCGGGAATTTTCCATCCATTCCCCTGGGAAAACTCACAGTGCAAAAAGAAGCACAATGCAAAAAGATCCTCTAGCAGCATACGACCCACCAAGACACTGGTACCTAACGAGCCCCAGGACAGCAGAAGTCTCACATCAGGCAGAGCACCTCTGAGTTCAGTGATTCACAGAATGAAAGCTTTCATATTTAATACATTCAGCTTTTGGCCCCTCGTGGCAAGAAGGGCATTGGGAGGATGGAGCATGTCTGGAGACAGGAATGGAGCTGGGAAGGGGCTGGAGCTCCAGGAGCAGCTCAGGCAGCTGGAAAGGGGCTCAGCCTGGAGAAAAGGGGGATCAGGAGCGATCTTCTGGTTCTGCACAGCTCCTGCCAGGAGGGGACAGCTGGGGGTTCATGCTCTGCTCCGGGGAACAGGGACAGGAGGAGAGGGAACGGCTTCAGGCTGGGCCAGGGGAGCTCAGGGTGGATTTTGGGGAAAGTTCTTCATGTGAGGGTTGTAAAGCTCTGGCACAGCTGCCCAGGGCAGTGCTGGAGTCCCCATCCCTGGAAGTGTTCAAAAAGCGTGTGGCTGTGGTACCTGGGATGTGGTTTGATGATGACCATGGTGGTGGTGGGTTGATGGTTGAAATTGATGACCTTAAAGGCCTTTTCCTACCTCAACAACTCCATGATTCTGAGATTTCCTTCACACCATGAACATTCAGAGCTGAGAGAGGGTGTATTTAAAGGCTGACATTTTCAGACTACAGTCACTTCAGGCAACAACTGGATCTGATCTTCAGGGATATTTTTTACCTGTTGCTGATTTTTACGTCTTTGGTGTTTCCCTGTCGTCCAGTTGTAATATCAAGCACCTGCAAGATAAGAAAAATCTATTAATTATAATCCAAGACAGGTCCATAAAGCATATTATAAACTGTGGCCTAGTCAACAAAGAAAGAAATGGCAGGAAATAGCAAGGGCAAATACAGTATCAATAAATAAAACATCAAACTTCTTTCTCCTGCCTAAAAGTCCTTTTCTCTGGTTTGTTCAGAGCTGGCTGTACATTCCTGTTTGCCCTGTGATTAGTTATTTTAAATCAAGAATACATTTCTTTTGCTCTGCAGCCTTTTCTAGCATGGTCTTTGTGGTTGTTGGTGATACCAACAGAGGGCTGTGAATTCAGAGCTGCAGTTTGGGAACAGAGGGAAAACTTTTCCAGATTTGCCCCTGAGGTGCTGCATCCAGAAGATTCCCATGAGCTGGACACCTGGACGTTGGAGGGGCTGGGAGAGCAGATGAAGAACTGAAGCTTCATTTACCAAACAACAAACGCAGAGGTAAAAATACAAACTTAATATATAAAAAATATACTCCTCACAGGCCTGACTGATACCATGAGACTACAAACTAAAATTTAAATCTAGAAACAATATTCCTCCATTTGTGAGGAAGGCCAAGAACACTACCTCCCTAGCTCAAATTTAAATGGCAGATAATGAGGTATTGAGGCTGGTTTCAGGGTCCACAGAACATAGAACAACTATTCCTTGACTTAATTAACAAAGTTTGACACTCCAGAAACATTTTTTAGACCACCAAGAACCTGCAGCCTGCCATGAATACAATTAATCTAAAAGAACAGCTTTACCATGTGATGAAATGTTCTTCTATTAAATAGCAGATGGTTTGACCAGGAGCCTGATTTGAAAATTACAAAATTACAAAATTACTGCAGACCTGGGGCCATTTTCCTTCAAAGGAATGGAGGCAGCCACTCAAGGCTCCAATGAACAGTAAACATTGAGTCTTCATCCCCAAAACAAACACCCCTTCCAGGCCTGGAGGGAAGGCTGAGAGTTCAGCCATTCCCTGGGATCTGCCCTGAGCAGGGAGGTGGCCCCAGCACTGCCCCATCCTGGATTTCCAGCAGCTCCTGACACAAAAGCCTTTCCAAGGCACTGGGACACTCAGCAAGTGCTCACAGCTCTCTGTGCCCTGCCATTGTGTGAAAGGAAAACTTTCTTCCAAGGCACTTTTAGGGCTGGGCCAGTGTCCTCTGCCCAGGCTTGGAAAATCTCTCTGACCCACTGCACTCCTTCAAACTGCAAACTTCAAACTGCTTCAAGCTGCAAATTTCCACTGGCCCTGCTTGCTCCAGCCCCCAGCCATCCCACACAAGGTGAGCCAACACCTGCATGCTGATGCCAAAGTGAAGTTCTGCACTGGAGGAATCTATTCTGTTTCTGCTTCTTCTCTTTATGAAGCACAACCCACTGCCTGGGCCATGCTGCAGCCCCAGCATAGGCATGGACCAAGGGGGAAATTTCTCTTTTCTGAAGGGCTACTCACAAGGCCCACTGTCCCTGCGTTCTGATTTTGGGTAGATGAAACAGACAAAGCATTCTATTTATTTATTCTATTTATATTTATTCTTTAATTTATTCAAGCATTATATTTATTTGTATGTCATAGGCTTGTTATGCATCAAAGCTTTGGACAGGCAGGTTGAGCCTCATACCCGAGTTCTGTTCCAGCTGGAGAACATGGTTACCACGACTAAAACATGCAAAAAGGCATTTCCTTGCAAGAGAAATGTCAATATTCCGTTGCAATGAGTTCTTCACAGATTTTAAGGCCCAAAATGCTTGGAATGCCGGCACTGGCACAGCCATCAGGATCTGTTGGTGCTAAAAAATCCCAAGAAAATGAAGATAGTATCAGTACCAGTCTTTATATCAGTATATATCTCAGTATCAGCATCTCCTTACCAGATGAGATCCCTGCATCCAGCTAGGAAAAGTCTTAAATAGACAAATCTCAATCCCCAGTTATGGCCCTGTTCAAGGCTTCTGTTTGTCTCAAAACTGTGCAGAACATTTGTGGTGCAACTCAAGGGGAAGAAATGTCTGCACAGCTCCAGGGTACCACGAGGATTTGGGGTCAAAGGGGAGGAAGGTGCCCTGGTGCAGAGCCTCCTGAGACTTACGTTCAGTGGCCACCAGCTCGTAGAGAGGCAGCCCCGTGCAGAGATTTTCAATGTGCTTCCCATAGAGAATCCAGTCTCTAAAATGCCCCAGCCTGGAAGTGCCAGGTTGGAACTGGGCCCACACGTTATTCGGAGAGTATACATCCCTCATGGTCTGAGAACAAAAATTAAACACCATTAGAAGTGTAGCTTTAGCTTTACTCTACTGGGACAGCCTTTGAGAAGGCTCCCAAACCCAAAATCACCTTCCTTTGCCTCACAAAAGAACATTAGATAAAGAAGCTTCATGCTTTTAAATTAAAAAAAAAAAAAATCTATTCAGTAACAAAATTCGCTAGGTATTAATTATGCCAACACAGCAAGCCTGAGCTGTATTGCTGCCATAATAAGTTATATTATTGGCAGCAATTTTTGATGTAAATGTGCTACTGGGCTGACACAAAATGGGCCAGAACTCCAGTTCACCCCCAGGCATCACTTCCAGTCTCCTTCTGAAACCTCAGCCTGAATAAGGAAGTCAAAATCTGGTCAAAGTAAGTCTCTACTTTCTGTTCTGAAAAAAAAAATAAATTTCAAGCAATGTCAAGGTCAAAATTTCAGCAGGACAACGAATAAAGGGAAAGTTTGCCAGAACTTAGATTGTGATCACCTCAAAATGGCCAAAGGACATCAGTTCCAAGGACAGGGGATTGTACAGCTCGAGACACCTCGACCACCCCCTATGAAACTGCAGGGGGCCACGATGGCTCGTTATCTTAAAAGAATGTTTGCATGATATTCCCTTCAAGCTGTGTCTTGTCAGAACAGCTCCATCATTGCTAAGACAGCACAAGTCATTCCTGAGCTGCTTTAGGGGCAGAGTGGAGGGTCCCCCTCACACCACACTGCTCCCACCCCTTCCTTGCCAGCAGCGAGGGTTCCCCACAAAGTCACCTGTCTCTCAAAAGCCAGACGTCCAATCTCTTCCATATCTGGGATTATATCCTTCTTTATTTTCATGATAAAGCAGGCATTCCGTGAAAACAGCTTGGTGGCAATATAGCCCTGTGATGCAAAGAATTGAGGTTAAGTCATTGGAAACACTGATATTAGTTGGTGATCTTTGCTCTTTGGGGCAATCTGGAAGGAAGAGCAAGTGGCTGCAGAGGCTGCTGTTGTGGAATGAGTGCATTTCCTTCCTCTCCTTTGGGGAATGGAGCCAGCCTGTCCAGGTGTCCATCCCTGGGACTGGAAACATCATTTCTGACAGATTTCTGCTGCCCATGAGTGCTGGCAGCCCATCCTCACCTCCAGCCCCACTGAGGTGAGGGACCTTCTTCACTTCTAAGAACTGCCACCACAAGTTTCATTGCAAGTCTTTTAAACTGCCCCACTGTATGGGTGAAGAAAGGAGGAAGAAAGGTGCTGGGAATCTTCAAAGAAACAGTGTTCAGGGACAAGATGTGGTGAGAATACACTAAAATAATTTCTGATTTAAAAAACTTCCTCAGGGGTCAAATGGAGGCGGATCCTTGGATTTACTCACGTGTGTGTAGTCAAAAATGGTGTCAGAGGAGTAGACGCCAGAGCGGACGTGCACGTCGACGATGTGCTCCTCGCTGTGGATGGTCATGGTCCCAGTGACATAGTTGCTGATGGGATCTCGCAGGGTGAAGGTCTTTGGTAAAAAGCACAAAATCATTGTTCATCACCTGGCTTCCATCTTTAGCAGGGGCAACAACCCCTGATGCTTTCTGCTCTGGGTAAATTCCAAATCCCTTAAGAGCCCCGGTTCTTGGGATTTGGTATTTACTGCACCCTGGAGCAGTCTGAGGAGGCTCCTGAGCTGGAGGTCAGTTATAAAACAGGCTCTCCTGCAGGCTGGGGAAAACCTGCATGGGACATCCCAGTCAGTCTGGGCAGCAGGGACTGCTCCAGGCTCCAAATGTTTGATTGAGCTAAGGGGACCTCTGTCCCCCTGGCTTGTTACTTTGTACCTGTACAGAACCTCTGGCAAAAGTTCTTTTTCTCTACACTTGACAATAAGCAACTTGTTGGTTTTGGTTTCATCTGTGGTTTTCTTCCTACTCTGTGGTGCGGAGGGACCCAACCCATTTTAAACACTCATGTGCAGGACAAGGCTCATCACTCTACTCACGTTCAAAGCAGAAGTCTGAGCCCAAAAGACTCCCAGGCAAATGAGGACTGCAGCCTGGAAAAGGAATCAGAATTCTCACTCGTCAGAAACACCAGGCAGTGCCATAAAAATCCCAGTCAGTGAACTGAGGGAAGGACCTGGAGCATCAGTTTGAAAAATCGTCCACTTAGCATGTATGTTAGTGAAAATAACTACAGTTCCTCATTGAAAAGTTTTTGCTATCAGGGTCTCCTTTGCCTGTAACTGAAAAAGCAGAATAACTTAACCATGGCATTTCTGCAGTTTTCAGAAGTCCCTCCTTGATGCCATGTTACCTCTCGATTTGCTTCTACAACTGCAGTCATTAAATCATAACCAAACTCCCTTCTGAACTGCAACCAATTCTGCATTCTTTGCTCAAATGAGGCTTCCACTGACTTTGCTGACCCAAGAAATGCAAGTTCTCCTCTTTCCACCCAAAGAAACAACACAGATCATATTATTGTACCACTGTATTGTACCACTTACTTGAGCATCTTCTTCTCTATCCTTTTGTTTTTAAAAGTGAGAACTTACAGTATTAAAAATTCAACAGAAATGGAGATACTCACAAATCTCTTCATTTTTCTTTCAGATGAGAACAAGAGGCTGCAGAAGGTAAGAAGGCAAGGAAGTCCCAGAGACCTTCAACTTTTATATCTTGCAGGAGGTGTGGGAAACACTTGACAGAACTTTCCTTCATGACTCGAACAAGTCCATATCTACATGTCGTAAGCCTCCTATCTGAATTTTGGGTTGGCACAGATAACCTGACCCAGATATATTTAAAGCACTCAGTAAGTCTCAGTAAATCAATCACTCTGCAAATGGCCATTATTCACTGGTTTAAAGTTTAGTATTGCTGGTTCTATTTTTTAAAGTATTTAACAGGATATTGTCCAGAATGAAATGACACTGGGAACAACACTGCTATTTATTCACACAAACTGCATTTTGTGTTCTGAAACACGATCCCTAACAGCCTGATTGATAGTCTGCAGAGAAATGCTGGGAAGAAACACGTGTGCCATGGTGGCCTCCTTGTCAGCCAACAAACACCAATTCTTCAGCCATTTCTGTCACTGAAAATCTTGGAGGGAGCCCTGGGCCACCTGTCAGTGAGTGGCATCCCTGTCCATGGCAGGGGGCTGGAGCTGGATTATCTTTAAGGCCCCTTCCAACCCAAACCACTGTGGGACTCTGTGGATCCATTCCATTCTCGACAAGAAGTGCTGCTCATTTCTGATGGGTTGTCACCACGGGCAGAGCTCATGGACTGCAATGAGTGACAGAGCTGGGAACGAGCGCTGTGCCTCACGGGCCAGCCTGGGGCACTTCTGGCCTGCTCAGCAACCAGGGAGGAACACGAAAACCCAGATGGTCACAAACAAAAGGAGCAGGATGGGGATTCCCCCTTTGAATCCCCACTGATTGCTGCATTCTGGGAGGATGCCAATGATCAGGAGAACGTTCCTTGGTGTTCCCAGGTGACTGCTACCTTGCCTGGACTTCTCCTCATCCGCTATCCCACACCAGCCGGTGCTGGCACCTGCATGAATCACACTCCGCTTCCTGCAAGAAGGTCATAATCAAGGCTGGTTCCCTCCCAATAAAACAAGAACTCACACTAACAGCAAACACATTTCTGTAATTTCTCTTATCAGGAAAAAGAAGAAGGAGATTGTACAGAAATATATCTCAGCAAAAAGGTCTCAATGGAAAAAGAAAAAAAGGAAATTGCATACATTTGCTTTATGCCACCTAAGTCCACATGAGAAAAGGTTATCTCAAGAGTAACGATGCTGTGCTGCTAAGCAATATATCAGAAAACACATAAACAGATATCAAATTCTGCTAAGCCCAGTTAAATTAATTAGGCTGCACTCCTCTTGAAAGCTGGCTCTGTCCCTTTTTCTCAACAGAATCTTTATTTTTAAGATTACAGGTATGTCAGAAATACTCAGAGTAGATTTCGACAGTCAAGTATTTCAAGCAGGACTCTAACAGGGTTCAGGCACCACAAGTTAAAGAAAGGGCTTAATTTAACTTTTCCTCAGTGATTATGCCTTCATCTACTCATTTTCTTTGAAGAACACTTGAGAAGCAGCAGCTCCTGCTTTCCTCAGCATCCATGTGCAGAGGCACAGGTAAGGGCAGAGCAGCAGGGGAGATCAGCAGTTGTTTACTGAAGGAAAACGACAGCAATAGCCAGATCTCATCATCTGCACCTTGCATTGCACTGACTGAACTCTGCTGATCCCATCAGACAAGGACAAAAACTAAAGGTTAATTTTTAAAAAGCGTTTGCCTAATTAATGTGATTGTGACACAGCCTGAGCTGGCTGTCTCAGGCAAAGCCTTTGATATCATTCCAATAGGCAAGCCTTGCTTTTTGGAGACTTTTTGCTCACAGTTCATCACACATTTTCCAGGAACATCCCTGAAATCAGCAGGCATGTGCTTGAACCCAAGCACCACAGTGCTAGAGGCACCTCCAATAGGAAGCAGCTGCAGGAAGAAGCTGCCTAAGAAGGGTTTAAACCCTTCTAATTTCACCTTGGCCAGTCCTCAGGCAGAATGAGGCTCAATTTATGAGTCAGAATCCCTCGGTGAACCTTGCTACCACAAATTTATGGTCCCTTTCTTAAACAGCCCTTAGTCCATAATCAGGTGCTACTCTCCTGAAGAGGCTCTGTGAAGATTCAGGACCATGTCTGACAAGCAGAAAGTTAAAATTGTTAACATAGCACGAATACCACCCCCTTGGTTTGAGTGGTGCTTTTGGTCAGAGGCACAACTTCTGGCTGAGTCCTTTGCCACATTGGCACAAAGCATCACTACAAGTTTCCTGGGAATCTGTGCTCTGCTTCTGCTTATAATTTCTTTTTTCATTTAAAAGTGACTGTTCAATACACTGAGCTTACCACGACCACTTTCCTCTCACCTCCCTGTATGCCATGAATTCAATCAGGCAGGTATCAAAGCCTCCTCTTATCAGAGCATTTCCCCAGGAAACTCGTCATGCTTCTGTGAACACAGGGCACCTGCCAATAAGGCAAACCCATTTTCAGATTTAACTTTGGGATATTATGTATAAAAAGCAAGAGTACACATCAATTAGCAGCAGAGCTGGCCAGGCCTGCCATCCAAATGAAGTTCCCTGTAAGTATACCTATTGCTTTCTCATAAAACTCTTAAGGCTGGGCAGCTTTTAAGTGGTTTTGAGCTTTTCTTGGCACTGAGAGAACTCTTAGTGATTTCTGACAAAGTGAAAATGCCAAAAGGGTGGGGACTACAGGGGAGAAATCTCCCTTTTGGCAGGGATGGAACTCTACGTGTTCAAATATGAAAGTGCTGTGTTCCAGGGGTGACACACACTTGTGACACGTCCACAGGACAATATTCTCTCCTTCACCACTCAGAGGCAAATCAACAGTCTCAGCAAGTCACATAAAGTTAGGGCTCAGCTGTTTGCTGAGAGCGTGACACGAGAGACTCCAAGTTCAGGATGGTGACGCTGAGGTATTTACAGCAGCCTGAGACTAGTGCAGAAAAAATTCCCAAGCATTACTTTTAAATATTCTGAGTCAGACTCAGACAATTTTCATCAAAAACCTCCTTTGAAGGAGATAAAATCTAGGACCGATTCAATATTCATAGGATTTTCTTGAAGAGAATAGTTGTTCACAATAGTTATCCCAAAAGAATTTTTCATCCTAACAATAGGAAATCTCTCCAAAAGGTATCGGCAGCAGTGCGGACAAACCCGAGCAACAGCAACAGCAGTGGGCTGTTGAAACTCTGTGGTTTTATAAAGGGGTAACAAATGTTTGATGTCTCAGTTTTCTGAACAGAAGTGTCTGTGCCTCCCTTTAGACTATTAGTCCTGTATTTGGAGGATGAGATCACTGTGAAGATGGTCGGGTCCCTTTGCTGCTGTGTTCCAAGCACAGAGCTGGAATGTGCATCCATATTCCAACTCTTCACAACAGGTGCACATGGATATTTCTCAGATCTGCTCCATGTCTGAAATCAAAAGCTTGCGGTGAAAAGCTCAGTCTTGCAAAGAAAATATTTCAGAGCACATTTTTTCCAATAAGTTACTGAACTGGGGCTGGGCAAGTTTTAGAACCCACTGTGTTTGAATGACCTTCTTGCCTGGGCAAGGTGTACTGCTGGGGCTAAGAGCTATTTCTATGCATGTGTTCTGTGAACTCATCAATAAATAATTCTGCATATTTCAATCCTCTTCAGCTGGACCCGACTGCAGAAAGTGCTGAGTCTGTACACAAAGTAAACAGGAAGTCAAAATTATTTTAAGACAGAAAATAATTTGATGCAAGATAAGCAGCATGATCTCCAGGTGTTTTGAATTCCAAATGTTCATTTCAGATTGTGATTGCTTCTCTCTTTGGAGTTTTCCTGGCTCCTGCTCTTGCCAATTATGTAAGTATAGAGCTATACACAGCTACTCACTCCTACCACAGGAACCACTGGCTTTAGCTCTTACCTCTGAGAAAAATGTTGCTGGAAGTGAAGCTGCTTTTTAAAGTCTGATATTTAGAAGAAAATGGCATTTAAATTTTTCTATAATAACTAAGGTATTATTTCCATGCTTGATGTATCAAGGGGAAAGGCAGTTACCATACATGGAATCAGGGAAGTCTTGTCCTGAGATGAGCATAAACACTGAAAATAATGGTGTGGAGAGAAACAAATATTAACATGATTGATCTAACACAAAATACAGTAGAATACTGTAAGTAATCTGGTGCCAGCAAGATCCTGCTGGGGAAAGGACAGTGAGGAATTATTTTGATTACTTAGAAAGTAAAAGATTCCTGTCTTCATTCTGAGCCAAGAAATTTTCTCCCCTTTCATCGGATCTCCAAGAGCAGTAATTTCTAAAAACATGGTTACTGCAGCCAGTGATTTATTAAGTGAAACACTGCTGGGAATCTGGGAAGCTAAATCCTTACCTCTTTTCCTCTTCCAAAAATCAGAACATGGAGAACAACTTTAATGGGCAACCCAGTGAAAACTCAACCCACTCTGAGATCAGGGCCAGCACCACTCCAAAGGTTGGGTCTGAGGCCTGGAAAACCATCTGGGACTTCAAGGCTGTAAGTAGCTTCCAGCATGGCACAAGAAAAATGGCAAAAGAGACAAATGTTTTCTAAAAACCACCAAAGCTTCAACAAAATTTCATTGTATTTTATATGACATGCTTGAAAATGTGCTCCTTCAGCCCTGGGACTGTTTCTGCTGCCCACTGTGTGCTGCGTTAGCTTTTCAGCAGCAAATTCCTTCACCTGCCCTAAGCAGGAGAACACATCCTACACGTGGCATTGCTGGAGGAGGCAATTTACCATTTACCAAAGCCTCTCGTCAGCCTCCATGACACATTTGCCTAAACAATATAATTGAAAGGACCAATATTTGCACTATTTGCACTTTTAACCAGTGCCTCTCTCCAGCTACGCACTTCTCTTTCCCTGTATATTGTTTGCAACATAAAGGGGGTTTTGTTTAACTTCAACAGGGCTACGTTGCAACCAAGGTGTTTTCAAAGAACACCTGCATCATTGCTTCAACTAGCAAGAGGTTTTGGCTTGGCAAACCCTTTCCTACACCACCTCCAGGAGACAAGGTAGGATGGTGGTTGACAGTGGGGCAAAAGATTGTCAGTGAAAAGCATTTGTTCCTACACACTCAGGGGAAAAGTCTCCAAGAACTGAAGAGAACTTTCTCAGCAGGGCTGAGTTGCTCTAAAAGTTCCTTCAAAAGTTGCATTGCCCAGGAACAACCCCAACTACTGTTCAGCCTGGCCTTGGACACTTCCAGGGATGAGCAGCCACAGCTTCTCTGGGCAATTTGTGTCAGCACCTCCCCACCCTCATGGGGAAGAATTTTTTCCCATCTAACCCTGCCCTCTGGCAGTGGGAGTGATTTCTCCTTTTCACTCCAGACCCCTGTAAACAGTCCTGCCCAATCTTTCCTGTCGGCTCCTTCAGGTACTGGAGGGCCACGATGAAGTCACCTGAAACTTCTCTCCTCCAGGATGAACAATCCAAATTATCTCAACCTTTCCTCATAGCAGAGCTGCTCCATCCCTCTGGTCATGCTGGTGCCTCCTCTGGACTCTCTCCAGCTGCTCCAGGTCCTTCCCGTGCTGGTCCCCAGGGTGGGGACAGCTCTGCAGATTGGTCTCACCCGAGCAGAGGGGCAGAATCCCCCTGGAGCTGCTGCCCATGCTGGGGGGTTCCTGGGCTGTTGGTGCACGTTGGTGGGTCACGTCCAGCCTGTCACCCACCAGGCCCCAGCTCCTTCTTGCCAGGGCTGTCCTCGATACGTGCACGGCCAGTTCTGATCTCGTCCTGGTTTTCCCAAACGCTGTTTTCTGGCTTTGTTCCTTTGATGCTCAGGTACTTGGGCCTTACCAGATGCCACGCAGAGAGAATCGCTTCATTATCTCCAGGAACAGACTCCAAAGCTTGAGCCCGTATGGAAAACGCATCCAAGCCCTGTGCACTGGAATTCCCTCCTACCTCGCTTACCCAGCTCCTGGTGAGTCTGCTACTGATAGCCCTGGTGCTCCAGAATTAGCACAGGTTAACAGGATTGCAAAATCCTGTCACTTACTGAGATCCTGTGCTTTTCTGTGAGTTTTTATACATCCATTTATACATATCTAAGGAAACCCAGCAGGTCTGTCACTCTCCTGTGTACAACGACCTGGAGCCCAGCCATTCTCAGGAACGTTCTGGGCTCTAGCTCTTGACATAAATCTGGAATTTTTAGGCAACTACTTGGAAGCATTTCAGCTACATTTTTATTTTCATATTTTCTCAGTCCAAATCTAATAGGTTTTTTCTTCTTCTTTCAGGATCAAACTTCTTAAGAGGATCAAACATCTCATCAGGATGAAACTTCTTAGAGTGAGATATTTAATGACTGAAATTTAAGACTAATGAACTGCCTGTTTATTACTGTGGTTGCTCCTGACAAAGTTTGCAGAAGAAAATTCATAGAACTTTGCACCCATTAGTATGATTTTTCTCCTTGATTATCTTCTCTTGATCATATTTTCAATCATTTATCTTTCTTCTGCTCTGTATGGAAGCTGCTGAGTCTCAGTAAAATTAATCATCAACCTACACTAGTCTGTGCTGTGTTTTTACAAAGCCTTTGAAAAAGCAGAAGCAATTCCAAACACAAGTTGCAAAACTAATGTTCTTGCAAAATCCTAATTTTGGCACTTAAACCTCTTCCAGTACAATTTCTCAGGGAGAGTTCACATACTGCCTTGAGTAATTATTCATCAATACTAGAAGAAGATGGTGCTGTACCTACTACATTACCCATATTTAAGATGAGATCAGTTTAGGGTACCACACAGGGAACCACACACGGAATCACACAGGGAATCACACACAGAATCACACAGGGAATCACACAGGAACCACACAGGGAACCACACAGGGAACCACACAGGGAATCACACAGGGAATCACACAGGAACCACACAGGGAATCACACAGGGAATCACACAGGGAATCACACAGGCAATCACACACAGAATCACACAGGGAATCACACAGGGAACCGGACAGGGAATCACGGAATCACACAGGGAATCACACAGGGAACCACACAGGGAATCACACAGGGAATCACACAGGCAATCACACACAGAATCACACAGGGAATCACACATGGAATCACACACAGAATCACACACGGAATTACACACAGGGAATCACACAGGAACCACACAGGGAACCACACAGGGAACCACACAGGGAATCACACAGGGAATCACACACAGAATCACACACGGAATCACACACGGAATCACACACAATTACAGAATCACAGGCTTGGAGGAGACCTTCAAGATCGTCAAGTCCAAACCAGCCCCAGCACCGCAGCTAGACCATGGCTCCCAGTGCCACATCCAGTCTGCTTTTAAACACATGCAGGCGCGGCGCCTCCACCACCTCCCTGGGCAGACCACTCCAGTACTTTATCTCCCTTTCAGTAAAAACCGTTTTCCTAATATCCAGCCTATATTTCTCCTGGTTCTCCAGGCAGGGAATAGCAGGGCACAGCTGCTCCTGGCAGCTGCAATACCTGCAATACCTTGCCTGCTGCAATACCGTCCCCAGGAGAGTATAACACTGTCAGCAAAGTCCAGCTGCCCACAAAACTGCTTTAACTTCATGAACTTAAGAGGAAAAATCTGTCAACAACTGTAAATTAATA